TCTCTCTCTCTCTCTCTTTCTCTCTGCCTCCTTTATGTGTGGCAGGATGGTAGGTATTAGAGGAAATATTTTCCTGGCAGGAGAACAACCTGAGTAAGCTCTCAGCTGGGGAAAAAAGCCTGCAAAATACCCTCTCACAGCAAAATTTGAGGTCACCAGGCCAAGTTATTAGATTGGCTATTCTGAAGCCAAGAGCAGGGAGAGCCTCCGAGACACAGCTGACAACCCCACCATGAGGCTCTGCCAATAGGATGAGGGTTTGGCCCTCTGGCCACGTGACTGCCATGGACAGAGTGAGATTTCTTGGGCTAGGTCAGTATGGGGATAAGGTAAAATTAAGTGGGTCAAAAGACCGCCAGCATGCTATAGAAGACGTTCAACAAAGAACATTCAGACCATGATAAGACACGCTTAGAAAGCAAATGCTACATTTCTATTCGGATTTATTGCCGTGACCTCCGCAACTCTTACAAGGAAAGCATTTAATTGGGGTGGCAGCTAACAGTTTCAGAGATTCAGTCCATTGTCGTCATGGTGGGACATGGTGATGTACAAGCAGCTGGGTCTCCAGCTGGAGCTGAGAGTCCTACATCTTTGGGGCAACAGGAAGTCGACTGAGACACTGGGCGGTATCCTGAGCATAGGAAACCTCAAAGCCCGCCCCCACAGTGACTCACTTCTTCCAACAAGGCCACACCTACTCCAACAAAGCCACACCTCCTAATAGTGCCATTCTCTGTGAGATTATGGAGGCCAATTACATTCAAACTACCAGAATCTCACGGAATCCCCCAGAGAAATATGGTCCTCGTCCCTGGTTTACAGGTGAGGGAATGCAGGCTCAGAGACACCAAACAAATCATCTCAAGTCCCCTGATAACCAACAATACAGCCAGGATTTGAACTCCTGGCCTGCACTTAATCGCTCTGGTGTGGATGCCCACAACACATGGTGGTGGGGAGGATGGGAAAAGAACCTCTAGGCCTGCCTGGTCAAAGTTCCTGGTTGCTAATAAAGGTCCTGTGAGGAGACCGAGGGCATAGCTAAGCCGAAGAACACTTGCAGGATGCTCACAACCCTGGGTTCAATTCCCAGTGCCACCACAAACACCCCATGCATGCAGTTACTTGGGCTGGCATACACACAGGCACAGTAACATGCAGCCTGACCACAAGCGTATGTCCCCCTCCCCTCCCTTTTTCCCCCTCCCCTCCCTCTTCCCCTCTCCTCTCCCTCTTCCCCCCTCCACTCTCCCCCCTCCCCTCCCCTCTACTCTCTCCCCTCCCCTTTCTTTCCTGTCCATTCTCTTCCTGTTCCTTCCCTTCCCCTATGTCTTGCTTCTGACATCTGCATTTCGAACGTGGTTTTTACAACGCGCTCCTTGAGGATTGCATGCTCCAGATTTTGCAAAGCCCATTGTGAGGTGTACCCGATCCCTGGTATCAGAAGTCAGAATTTCTGCCACACCATGCAGCGTGCCACCTGCTTGCAAGGGCTAGGAACAACAGTGTAGAGGAGTAGCTACTGCAAATGTACCTTCTAGGAGAGAGCCTCGAGAAACTCAGAGAATTCATGAACTTGAAAGACTGTGGAAGCTCATAAAACTCCCAGGACTTCGGGACCCTTCCCCAAAATTACAAAAGTAGTTAGCAACTGCTGTAGTTAGTAACTACAAAAAAAAGTAGTAACTGCTCTCAGATTGGTCTGAGGACTCCAATGAGTCAACACCCATAGAGGAGTGGACTTTTGGGCGATGTGGCCTGAGTCATCCAGAAATAACCTTCTCTGGTCCTTCTGCAGGAACCCCATAAACTCTCTGGTTCCTGACACTGGACCTGGATGTACTGTTTCCATGCTCTGTCGTTGCCTTCTCTATATGAGGTGAAGAGAAATAGTATCCCCAGGAAAAGCCACACAACAGCAGGATAGTGGTCAGACTCCTGGGAGACGATTGGCTGATTCCCAGGTTCCCCTAGAGAGGACTTTTTAATCCAAGGTTTCCACAGACGTTGAGCTGATGTTGGCATGGTCGACCTAGCATGGTCTCTACAGAGCTCATAAAATTTAGTATGTCAGCTCCAAATCCTTAAACATGCCTCTGCAAAGATACTTGAAAATATCATAGCACACCCTTAACCATCCCACAGTTAGA